CAATCGCTTTCATGTCAACCCAAGTCGTAATTATTTAGTTTCATGTCGAAATTACTTGGTGACATACCAGCCAGAATCGCAGTTACTTGGTTTTGTGCCGGCCCAGTTCAGAATTACTCGAGTTTTCAGATTTGAGAGACTGCTTAATGTCATAGCGGTCATAGTCTTGCACTGAATATACATCTCTTTAAGATTAGTATATCATCTAGAACTAGATCCTACACAGTAAAATGTAAAGAGGAATCATGTACGCACGCCAATTATTCCGGGGCTGCCGCTACATGATACTGCACAGGCAAGATATAATATGGATATGAGCCATGACGATGAGCGCCGTGCCTATACGAGTAATGAAACACAACGGTCAAGATATCACACAAAGAATGCCAGTAATGCCAGCTGTGCAATGCTGTAACGTTGCTAACGAAGCCGAGGAAAATATGAATGATCTGGGTACCAATGCTAACATGTCGTTCATGATAACGATGACGATTTTGTTATAATTTAGATTTTGTTTCTAAACTACTCTAAAAATGACTAGATTGCTTATGTTATGCCATAATAGATTACAACAAAATGATGTGATATGTTCATGTCAATGATGTGAGAGCAAATCGAGCTAACGTAAGAGATTATGACAGCCAGGTAGAAAAGACATCAGATAATGTATAAAGTACCCCTGTTTCTGGGATCGTTTTTCGTCACTCAAAACTGTGTTATAGTCTAGAAAAAAAGATACGAGTCCAATTCAATCTGATGTTTGTTTGTTTTTCTACACCGCTTTTTCTCAAAACTCGTACCTGTAATTGCCAATAGAAGAGCGCATTGGACTGTGGGAAAATCAATGTTTATCAAGACAAATATCTCACATGCGCGGTGCGACGACCACCGCCTAGTACAAAGACAGTACACTGTAAACACAAACATGATAAACAATAGTAGCTAAAACCAATAACAATTGCAAATAGTTAGTACGTAAAACACGTTTGAAAATTACTAAAATTTGGTCAAATGATTTTAAATGAGTTTATTTAATAGAGTAATCCTAGGTGTAGATGGACATTTATTTAATGAATGTAGTGATTTGTGTAACAATAATAAATGTAGAACATGTCTAAGGATTTGTAATGATTGCAAATTGAAATGTGTTTATAGAGATGAAATATCACGTGCTGACTTTTAAATGTTGCTTTTAGTGCATAACCTTGTAAATGTGTGTTGAATACGACCAATCTTCATAATTATAAATCGCTGTTAACGGCACCACACTTGTACTAATATCTGCTAAACTATCTGCTATTATCTTTATAAAGTCGTCGATTTTATTTGCAAAGTATGATTCGCATAAGTAACATGCTTTTTGGACACAATTAGTAAAGCAGTATTATGCGAGGTTTCATAGTAATGATGAAAAACATTACAATCAAATATTCTATTTATTAAGTTCAATTTAAGATTATGTGTGTTATTTGCCATGCAGATTTACAAATAACAAAGTGTTCAATGCGACTGCGTGTTATGGGTAAGGCTGTTTGTACCCGGATTTATACTACTGATTTACCAGAACCTCCCCAGTGGAAAACGAACACGTTAACTGCTGTAACATCGACCAGCTAACAAAATTATAATCTTTTCCTGATGCGACCAGAGATCGTACATGTATTACACCGGTTTGAAATTTTGAGCTAATTTGCAAGGATTGTTTTGGCCGACGATCACGGATGCCAACGTTAAATCATCTCATTAAAGTACATGCAAGTCGTATTTACGATATTCTACGAATCATGTAAAAATATAAGACTGACATGAGTATTTGAGTATGACATGTATTTAACAACAGACAACGAAGACATGGTATAGTGGATTGAATTAATAATGCCCGAGAAGGCATAGATGTCTTCTTTAATCAGATAACTGTATACATACGCATCGTATTCTTTCAATTTTCATGAAGTCAATAAACGACCCTAATTTCCACAGATAAAATCTTCCATCTGAAGGGTGTTCAAGTGTTGCCACTTCATATAGACATACATAATGTTTGATTAACTTGACCTTAATAACAACAAATTTTCATCACAAATCACATGAAGCGAATAACCCAATTACACGTCATTGTTTGAGTTTATTTCGTCAAAGGGATGGACGATATAGTAACCATTGCCACCATATATACGTTATTGCTAATCGAGTACAGATACAAGAGGGTTCATATTATGAAAACAACTCTAGTGTTAATAATCTCGAAATGAATGTGAAATGAACGAGGTGTATATAGCGAATAATAATGGTCTGTAATGCTCATCGTAGCATTAACTTCTGAAAAAAAATCATTACTGAGTACAAATGCATTACTACAGTTCTATTATGAATAACACATTATTGACAAAAATACTTTTACTTTTCACTAACATCAATATATATTGATTATTTTGGCGTCATAGAATGGACTTTAAATTAACGTAATCCGGATATGTACAGTTGACTGTTTTTGAAATCTCCTATTTTAAATTACTTTGTCGCCATGATTTGAATTGTTTCACTGGTACAAAGCACTGACATCAATTCTAACACACAGTCTGTTGTTGCACATGTCTTTATTCATTATGTGTGTATATAGACATTGCAACATTTAAATGCAGCCCACGACATATTCTCTGTATTCTATATTGGGATGAGAAACCTCTGTGTGCGAAGCAGCGTAAGTGATGCCAATGAATTCGATGTAAATAGCAATCTAAGAGTTTAAAACAGCTTCTAGTAATTAAGTCATGGAGGTGAAAAAAAATACTTTTCGTTAGGTGGGGCTCGGCGAAATTTGACAGTGGCCAAGCGTCTGAAACCCGCTGGGGTATCCAACATTCATTCAAAGGCGCTATGTAGAAGGAAAAAGTGAAGTCATCTCTAGATACCACTTTAAAAGGCTAAGTAATAGAAAGGTAATTCATTGACAGAAGAGGCGGATTGTTAAACGTCGTATCACTTGGCTTACTAATAAAGTCTCGTATCGCCGTAATGCCTCCTGTCGTAGAGGGTACAATTAGATGAAATGAAAAAGTTATGAACGGCAAGAAGTTGATCTGTCCAAATAAAGCTAGCTCTAATCTTAAAATGTGATTAACGTGTGGATATCATTTCAGGTAATGCGTCCACCCGCAAGCATGAATAGCGGTTCTACTGAAAACCCTAAAATAATCACCAGTTCTCAGTGTATAGTATTGCGCACGAGTAATTCGGTTTCTATGTCAATATCCATCCAATAAGCATGTCGTGGTTAAAAAAAACTATAGTGATTGGCTGCGGGGAATAGTAAATTTATTGTGTATGTGTCTATGTATACAATCGACGGATTATTCGAAATACATACCGTATGTTCGCAGTCGGCTGTTATAATCGTGGATGACATCACTGTATATGGGCACATTTCGCATACTTTCGACTGTATCTTTACACACAGTAGTATACAAATATTATTCCATACAATTCGGGGAAGTTCAACTAGAATAGTGTAAGTCCTTTTATTATAATGAAGTACCGCAAGAGCTGAACTATTCTGCATATTCACTAGATAATTTGAATACCGGAATTATTTCCCTCGTGTTTCGATTACACATAGGTCAAATAAGATGACGTCAAACACTCAAGTAGATTGTATAGCATACAATACAGTAATATTGTTGCCATTACTAATAAATTATGATCACGCTGTGTCCACCGTAAATATAACACACCCATTAAATATAGCAAGTCGAAATTACATAACTACGCAGAAACGCTCATAAAACAATTGAAATATTGCTGTCAGAAAGAAAGTTCCTTTGTCATTATGTATGACACAACCCTAGCCTACGTCCACATTGGCATTATCGATTCAAGAACGTTCTAAGTACTGGACGTGCAGTCCAGAATGTAAAGACTGTGCAAGTAATTTTCAAGTTGCCAAGGTGATTGCCATGATATGAGAAATGCACATCCAAATGTGAAATTAAATGCAAACGAGAAGCCACGAAAATGAGAGACGTCTTAATAATACCAACAACTAATAACCTAAGCTAGCTACACTAAGGCGTTTATGTACAGTCGATTGAGCTGAATGAAATAGCCCGCTGAGTGGCATTACTACATGGATGGTTTGAAGTCCATGCTTCGTTGGAAGACAATATGAACAGTCATTTGAAAACATCACGCCAGCAGGCAAAGGGACAAAGGAAAACACGGTTCAATCAAAATATTAAATTTCTGGGACTGTCATGCCTTTTGTGTGGTGAATATCGCAAACGCATGGTCGTTGTGCTCTCCTTGTATACCTTAATAATATTTGTTCACATTCATTTGAATAATAAAATAGCTAATAATTAACGCAATGCTAATTTAAATTAGCAAATAGAACCTGGCCTTTTGATAGTCTAATATCACATGACATTGTTATACCTTGCCATGGAAATGTCAGCACCAATGACACACCTTCTAAATAGAAATACAACCAATTAACGCAATATATCTTTATTCTTACTGTACGTTTGCAACAATCAGTGTCACCTCAATTTTCCACCGACCTGCGTCATATAGTTTGATTGGCAGTTACTGTGCTGTTAACGCCCTCTACTGGGATCCACGATGTTTGTACAAGACAGGTCTCTATGTTGGAATCGCTCTCACTCATACAAAGTAGGCGTTGACTGTTGGGCGAAGAGTTAGTTTATATTCTGGGGATGTTCACCAATCTGCAGTCACCGAAAAAGCTCTGTATCTGAAATTCCTGTACTCTTGTCCTGCACACAGTGTGTATTTGTACAGGTATGAAGATTAATCGAACTAGTTGGTTTTTCGTTAATGAAACCGTGTTGCCATTTTTCAACATCTCCAGCTTTAATGCCACAAGGAATGGAACTGGTAATTACATCGATGGTTACTTGCCTTTATATGGACCCCTGGCTTTTTACTCCATATTAGCAGTGCTTTCAACTATTGTCCTGATCACCGTCGTGTCAAATTCGCTCATCATTCTATCATTTATATACAACAAGAAACTTAGGAAATTGACAAACTATTTTTACATGAGTTTGGCCATTTCCGATTTATTGGCCGGACTGTTTGACATGCCGTTAGGGGTTTGGGAGGTGTTGATGGGATACGAAGACTGGCGATTCGGTAAAACTTTATGCACAGCTTGGATGGTGTTGGACTACTGGATCTATACTGCTTCGACGTACACTATGCTGGCAATCTGCATTGACCGATATTTCGCTATTTTACACGGTTTACGCTACAGAAGAATGCGTACAAATAGACTGATTAATGGTATGATCATATCATGCTGGGTTACTGCATTCCTGGTAGAGGTTCCCGGATTGGTGTTATGGGAACCCCTGTCAGGTGTGAGTATCGTCGACTATTCGTATTATTGTGATGTAGAATGGGCGGAGAATGAGACGTATGCTACAATAAACACACTACTCACGATGTTCATACCATTCTCTTTCATACTAATACTGTCATTTGCTATTTGGATCGCTCTACGGCATCGATCTAAAGCATTAAAGGGAAAAGACGGTGTGAATTTATTGGGTATAAGTGCAGCTTCGAGTATTTCAAAAAAATGCACAGATACGCAAATCAAAGTACGTACCATCGACGTCGGTGTGCAGACATCTGAGTGTGAGCAGTTCGAACGTAGCAACAGGATTCAGTATTGTGACAAGTCGGTGTCAACTGCAGATCTAGAAACATTGTGTTTCACTCAAGAGCTGGGCTTAGGAAATGGCAATGTAAAGGGAATTGAAAACACTGGGTTCGTATTTGAACACGAGTTGATCGAGGGTGAAATACTCCCAACGGACTTTTCTCCTGAGCAAAGTACACCGTCTTCAAACGTGGAGTGCATCAAAGTCATTCGTATTCACGGCGAAATGAATGGTAATGACGAAACTACCAGAGAGGTTGAAGCAGACCAAGACAGAACCTCACACGCGCAAACACGTAAGAAATACGAAGACGTTTTGGGTTCAAAGCAGGCGAGCACAAAGCATCTTGAAAGACTGAACACTTTGAAGACAACATACCAGTCGAAGAACAGACGCGGCGCCGATATGAGTCGTCTTGCTGGTGATAAACGGGCTGTCATGTCCTTTGCCATTCTGCTGGGTACGTTTCTAGTGCTGTGGACGCCTTGGTTCGTCATCGCAACTCTAGAATCAGTTTGTGAGGAAACGTGTGTAATGGGAGATACGCTGTATTACATTGCATCATGGTTGATCTATGTTAACTCAATGATCAATCCTTTTATATACGTGTTTAGGGACGCCGAATTTAAACGTACTATATCTGCTATTTTGTTGTGCTTCTGCTGCCGGAAAAAAAAAAATTTAGCGTGTTTTCAATAATACTACATTATTAGTTTCACGGTATATTACATACAATCTGGTAAACATAATGCATATTCAAGAAACAATCCAATGTAGAAACCATACGGGTAAGGGTTAAACTGTCGCTCATGTGTTTTTAATATTTAATTACATATGTACTCACCGTAGAGAGAAAAATCAAATACATTCTCGTGTTAGTCATTGTTGTAACCTTCCTCCATTGGCGTAGCTGTGAATGTGCTCGTGATCGCAAGCAGTGCGTTAATCGAGAATATAGCCATGTTTGAATTCACTAAAACAATTACGTAGTATATTGTTTATATTCATATTGAATATTTAACATTACAAACTTTAACATCACATTTGGAGCATTAATGTATAATTTTACTTAGTATCTACACTCATTCATCAAACTATTATATAACTGAATCCCATTTGATAACCGCTTTCTTTTATTTGTGGTCAAATTAATTCTTTTTCATTTCGTCATATTTAATATACCCTAACCATTATAAACAGATTTAAGCAGTTACAAATATAATAATTGAGTTTGTTGTTCTTACACTATAAACACTCAATATGACGGTTTGCTCGAAAGGTAATACGACTTATCTGCCTCAGTCTGTTATCAGTCTAGAAACAGATATGCATACGCTCAGGAAAGCTATTGGGACTACTTTAGCGTTTAAAAAAAATAGTGTTTAAATAATTAAGTGTGTAATTATGTATTTGCGTGGTTGGTTGGTTGTAAATTGCCATTTTCGCATGGGAATAGACAAACAAACGAGCGCTATATATATACACAGCGTGTGCTCCATTAGTTTGTAATAATCTGTTTGCATAACGGATTGTACGTAATCTACCATGCACGTAACACCTGTACAGTCTGGCCTCAGGACACTGTTTTGTTTTGCTTGTACTGTCTATATATCTTACAAGTCACGGTTTCTATAGTATTATTAGTCGTGTTTCAGTCACGGTAATACTCCACTACGCCAGTACTCACTTCAGCGTGGTATCTGCGTACACTCGTTAAACTTCTAACGAGCTCTTGTCGATGGCAGACATAGTTGTTATTACAATATCAATATTGTATGTATGTATTTGTTACCCTGGCTTCAATTGTAGTTTTAAAAACAATCAAACAGTTTATATTAATTCTCTTGATGAATTTTAAATCCACTGTCTTTTGGTCACATGTAACAACAAATCAATAATATAAAATAGATTAATTAATCTAGTAACGAGACAATAAAAAAAGGATCCTCGATCGATGGTTTGACTGTGTAAACAGGTCTTGCCGTTGCTATTATTGGCAATGCCTTTAGCCCTTCGTCAAATGTGAAAGTAAATTACAATGAGTATTGAAATATTGTGTACCTCAGTTGAATTTGAATCGAGATTGATTAGTTTTTTGTTATATATACTCGCGGCGGTTAGTAATTGGGGTCGCAGATGGCAACGATTAAAACATACATTGTTGCAATATACTTTCCCAGTACTATGAAAACAATGTTGGATTTCAGTTTCCAGTGAATTTGCAGGTACATGTAGATTAATGTGGTTCTATAACTAACTTTATTTGCAAATTCGTCGATACCGTTAGTTTGGCGAATCTGCTTCACAGCGCACCTATTTTAAGCAGTACACACATTCGCATTCATTGAATGAATAAGGCATTACGCGAGTTTAGCATCTACATATCAGGCACCGGAATTCAATGCAATTCGAGTCAGTAAGTTTATCTTTTTAATAAAAATAAAAATCCTCGAAGGGTTTCCGTTATCTGAGGATTTGGCAGCTGTTCAATCGCAATACAATACATTCATATTGACATGACGTTTTTTTTTATTATCGCTGAATATATTTTTTGTAGATTTTATCTCCACAGTCCATTTTAGGTATTGCTGCATAATGTGTATATAATTCTCTGAGTTCTACATTCTAATGTATATACGGTATTTATTGAATACATGCTTTCGGTCGAGTTTGTTCGTGACACGGTCGATGTGTTGGGATTGAAGATGAGAAACTCTCCCAGGGATGGGGAAAACATGTGTAGTTTATCATTTTCTTCACTTTTTGCACTGTAACACTTTGTTTTGTTATTAATAAAACAGTTTCTTATACCATTGTCCTTGTAGTATATTATGTACACTGATTTCTTTCTTACCTTTTTCTTCATATTCATATTCATCGCATCAATTTCAATATTTTCTAACGACCAGCCCCTTATATGCCCACTTTACTATTGGATTCATGACTTGAAACTTTTCCGTGGTCAATTTCTCATGTTACCCCGAGCGCACCTCATGTGAAAGACACACTGGCATAAAAGAAGATTCGCCAGCGCGGTCTGACGACGAGTGAACAAACCCGCTGGTTGTATCTATATTTGTTTTGACAATAGTATTATAAACTGGATAACAATCAGACAACTAGGGGCGTTTACATTTGATGTTAACGTGTGAAACCATACATTGAAAGCACGATATCACGAGATGCGTTGGTCGTTCTGCTCCTCTCCATGGTTACCTTACATTACCTGACAGCTTTGCTTTGCTCGACATCTTTTATTTGTATTTATTGTCATATGTCAATCTATAGAATTATACTTATATTAAAAAAATCAATTTACATAGTCTTATACATAAAAATGTTACAAATGTAAATGCTTGTTGCCAGAGTCTTTGTCGTCCCGTGGTGGCGTTGGGACAAATCTTACACTCTCTATGGCGACTCTTTGGTGTGGTCTTTTAAGTAGTCCCAAAGATGGCAAACATTTTTCAAGTACTGTCGGCTTCCCGATTACACCAAAATCACTACTTTTGTCACGTGAAACCACAACTTTCGAACGTTTTCTTATTGCCGTTTTTACTTTTAGTACAGGTAAAAATGTTTGTTTTGTGGAAACTCTCGGAATAGTGTCAACAATATTGACAACTGGTTTTCTCCGACGCACAAAACGTTTCGATCGTTCGGCCATTGGAGGCGGGTGTGGCAAATGGTAGTACACCTTAGTGGGCGGGGGTTCAAGATTCGTTTTATTGATATGTTGAGAGGATCTCTGAGAATAACTAAAAATTGACACGGGGGATTTTGGGAGTTTTAATGCGGGAGCACCGATTACTATAAGGTCCCTGTATGGACTGGCAGTTAGCCGAGAATCTGATACAGAAACATTATCACTTGGAGAGTATTGCAATGTTAGTTCTTGAATATCCATATGGTGTTGAGATGAGAGAGATGACGCATTGCTCTCAGTTGATTGGCAACTTTTGATACTGCTTTGTGAAGTATACAATGCTTCGATATTGATTGATCCCAAACTTACGTCACTGTTATCGCTAAGGCGGTCTTCAAAGTCAGAATTACCTTCCAAGAATGTTAAGTGCTTGCGTATCATATCCCGCAGCTCGATCAGCGCCGGTAAATGGTCTGCAACGTCGCCAACTAAAGAGGATACGGCCGGACGACTACCTAACTCGTTATCCGAGATTTCTTCAATCACGCGAATTAAATGAATAGCCTGGTCTTTGGGCAAATGATACATCCATCCTGTCTTGAGGTTTTCCCTTACGCACCCTTGAAGCTACATCGGGGACATAAACATGAAGTGATTAGTCGTATCAGTATATGAAACATGTCACAATGTGACAAAACTAAAGTTATGTCAGTTTCACTTTTGACTGAATTGGAAAGAATAGGTTTAATTCTGAGTATGTCTGTATGTCTTATCGTGAATGACCACGGACGTAAACATGCCAAGCAAATACGAGTCTCAAGATAATTGCGTTGCGTCCCTAATAAACTTGGCTATTAATAAACATGGTAATCGAATACACAAATGGCGAACAGCACTGATATTCTGTTACAAGATAACTCTGCTCAAAAGATGGATAAAATGTAATCTCTGTTTACCCTGTATGGTGTGTCGTGCTCATGCTGATGTTTCGATCCAGTAATTACATCACATTTCAATAAGAGAATTACACTTCCTTCCCGTTCCTTGTGAAACCGCAAAGTTTTGTTATTACCGCATCGATGGCATCTGAAAACGCTGCTCGACTGTAATGGACCCGGTGTTCTGCTGATTCCTGGTGAAAGCTGTGTGACAGAAAGGTCGTCGGGGTTATTGAAGCATACGTGAATCTAATAGGATATTATGAGACATGATTTGACTACTATAACATTCCATTTTTCGTATAAAATTTGAAAGGATAAGATGCAAAGATAATTTTGTTCCATGTATGTTTCGTTCTGATCGTTGATTAGACCTATTGAGGTGGTCTGAACCTTATATCAATAATATCTTCAGCCATGTCGTACTTTTTTTATTTATGCAAATGTGTTCGTTTTCAATAACACTGAGTACAATACGTGTTGTGATAAAATACATTTTGCCGAGCATTGGTGGCATAAATCGCTCTCTTGGCAACTGCCGTTGCTAGGATTGGTGATTTGCTGTTCTAGGAATGGAGTGATTACTGGTTTCTACCAAGAGGGATGACGTCATCCTCCTTTTCTTGTATGACGTGACCCACCGCCTCTTCATATGACAATTTAATTTACCTGTGAGTAGTTCGTGGCATGTTTGCGTAATGATTTGGTATCTTTCTGTTGAACATGAATTTTCGTCATAAAAGTCAGCTTCTGTGGTTCGTCTTCGGCAGACCAGCCAAAATCTTCTTTCCAGAACCAGTCATCAGAGAATCCTTCATAGTATTCGGCAGCGTACCCGCCTTTCATCTCGTTTCTGTGGTAACCATTCCAGTAGTAATAATGCTTCTCTTTTTCTCCTTTACTCTTCTTTGCTTTCTTGGTTGACCCTCCCCCTGTTAATGAAACAAAATGAACTCCTTAGAATAATTATGACACTATCGGGGCACAATAACCATACTATGGAAATTACCATACATATTACTTTGATATGCGGAGCTCTTTATCAGTAAATAGAATTAGCAAACACGTTGAAATATAACTACTCCGTAAATCGCTGAGTTCAAATCTCCGTCTATCTCTTCGGAACTATTTACTGGATTTATCCTATGTCCAATTGAGCTGACCTCAGATATGAACTGTCTATATCCCTTACAATAAACCGGACGCAGTGCGGCGTTTGTGTGTATGAACTTGACAAACAGTGATTGAATTTAGATATCATCTCTGTAAATTGGCAGCACAATACATGCAAATTGAATTGCAATAATATCGTTTCATGTACTTCAATATACTTTGATTTAATTGTGAATGAACTGCAGTTGATGAAATTATCTTAGTAGTACATACACATAATCACTGTGTATTTTGTCGGTCGAAACTGGAGTATTGCATTGCTCTGTTTTGAGAATATATTTACATACTGGCTAATTTGATAAGTACTTAATCATATGTTATCCGTAAGACTGTAGAGGTGACGAGTAATCAGTATATGCACGGTATTCGCTGGAGATAACAAACAAACCCTGTAGTGTAATATCGGGGGATCTTTACTCACTTTTATATCTGGATTTATGATGTATTTCCTTGTACGCCGGGTATGTCGTCTTCTCCCGACCATAGAACACATCGTAAACAAGTTCTGCTACAACCTCACCACTAACAACTGAAAATATGTCATTTTTGTCTTCAACCGTCGACGGGCTTCCTTTCAAATTATTACATTGCTTTTTACGATTGCGTCGATGGTTCGGCTTCTTTCTGAGGTCATCTTTGAAAGAGTATTTACGTGATGCTGGTATTTTTATTGCTTTGTCTGTGTGGGTTTCGGAAATTTGTATGCAGTCTGCCTTCTCTCTTAACAACTCAGTGGTTTCGTGCTCGATCAAAGTAACTTTCACATCGTCCACTGAATGTAGATCGAAGTCTCTCACGCAAGAAGCGAACTCTCTGATTTTTTGCTGTGAGCAAATATATTGCTGTAATATCTCAGAGAGTAACCACCTTTTTTTCTTATTTAAACTGAATTTCAAATAGCCACCGTATTGTTGTTGATCACTCAAAAGTTGTGTATTACCTGGCAGGGGAAAAGACGTCAGTTAATATAATTGAATTAGGGTAATCTGAGATGGTAGTGATTATCTTGGGGCAGTAAAAATAGAAAAACTGAACACACACATGCAACTTTTAAGAGGCATTAAAGTCAATACCATAACAACTTATGTTCCAAGCACAATGGGACATACCGAAGCCTCGTGAAAGCCTCAATAAGTAAACTTGTCAATTGGCATTTATTGTGTCAGTGTGGTACGTACAACTAATGGGTTGTATTGACAACTGCATGCACTGACTATACATCACAGATCTCTTCACCAACAAGACAATGAAGAGGTACGCTAACGACCACAGAAAGCATGTAATTAGGAATCACATTAGTTTGCCATCTGAATCAAATAAATGTGCAACAATTCGCGCACCATTAGTTACGCGTCTATCTTCGCACGCGTCTATATTTGTTGTGGAAACGAGTGTGAAATTCATGTTGCCATTGTCCCGTTGTCCCTTCTCTCAGTCTTGTAAAATGTATTGTTTGTACCTGTGTGACATGCGAAAAGCTGGAGATTTCCATCCTCAACTGGATAACCATCTTGTAGATCTTGGATGAGACTCTTTTCCTGCCAGGCAGTGCAGTGACTTGACAGCTTCACGTACTTCGTCACAGAAAATAGACATCGACGGTGAACGGTTGGACAGCATCGTTTTAGCGTTCGGTTTGTCTCAATGCCAAATCTCGCGTTTCTTTGCACCATAATACCAATATATATCTGAGAATATAAATGTATTTAAGCTGTCGTGTTATAAACATATATGTACCACAAAACTCATTGAACACTTATTATATGTCAGTGTTAAAGACAGATGCGTTAGGCAGAGATGATATTTTCCTAGATACGTGTTATAATTCAAAAGATATTGACCACAGTCATCAACTCCGTAACATGTCTTCGCGTAACAATGATTTTAAGACCAATCGTAACGATTTCTAATTTAATATTTCACGATACAGTAAGATATATTTACAAATCTAACCAAATGACATTGTTAAACTACCCCTACAAGTTTGATATGAGATTCTTTGCAGGCAATCGGCTAAGTATATGTCGTTTACTGTGAGCGCTAAAAGCAACCCAACCAGAAATACTGCAATATATCTCACTGTTTGCAAAATAGCAATATTGATAGTTCAATAATATTTTGCAGCGATAAGCTAATATCAATATGGCCACTTCGTTAGTTAGACTGTGAGCTATTTTGCAATACAACTGGTTGGTTTGCCTTTTCGTCCAAAGCAATGCTGAAATGATGAAACAGTGTTGATTCATATTTTTTTTTGGAATGTATCATAATGTCTCCGCTCTTTGTTACATATACTGTTACGTTCGATTTTCTATTTTATGATGACTTGAAATGCACGTGTCTTTACTTTCACTGAGCGGCTGTCTGTTTCTTCAAACATCATTTCTAATTTCGAGATGGATAATATATTTAAGTAGATGTTATGACTAACGTTTGCCGCAGGGTTTTGTAAAAATGACAAATTTAATTACAATAACATTATCTCACCACACGTTCATGTAAAATATGATTCGATAAATGGCTAAGTACGAAATATGCATAACGTGGCTCTTTCTGAGATTACATCGGTGTGTATATATAATGTGAATTTCTGTGAAAAGTATGTGTATTTGTTAACGTCAATAACGTTTCTTATAAATTAATGAGAAAGTAATTCGCCGTCGGCGTTTATTAAGAACTCTGTGGGTGCTCTGTGAAAGCCGAACATAAGGTTTCTTCAGTGCCATGAATTAAAAATGAGGCCATATAGACCAATGTCGGTAAATTAAAAACTCTGTGATACGAACAAATTACCCCTTTGTATTCAGCAAATGGAAACGGGGGCAAATATTCAGGTCAGTGAATGAAATGATATTTTCACCGGCGATGGTTTGTCAAGGAAATGGCGATTCGCTGTAATTAATACGCGTAGGTGAAGTGTATTAGAGGGGTCACCGACCAAATTATCCAATTATAATTTATTGGATGGTCGCACAATGAATTAGTAGTCGATGTATGGTGGCGGTAATAACATGGAGCGACTGCAGTAAGCTTAACTAAGACGGCAATAAATTATTGAAGAGACTCACTACGCACCGGTCACTTTCTGTTCAGACAACGACTTCGTCGTCCGTCTGCTCCATTCTAAGTTCTATCCAGAACAAACGATCCACGCTGTCCACAAGTCTTCGCTACATGCTGGTGTGGTTGTTATAGTCGGTGGTTTTATGGAATGGGAGTATGGTTTCAAACATACAATGTGTATTCTATGTGACGCCTTTATTTATTTACAAATGGTATCCATGACTGTGAATTGTCTTATCGACCTTTGGGTCAAACGGCCTGACGCCCTCAGTGGCGTGACACCCTAGTAAATTATCACGTTCTTTTGCAAACCAAATGAAACTTTTTGGAACTACTTGTGTGAAAAAATTACACCGTGATTCGAGTAACAATTAGTTTGCTTGACGGGACATATTATTTGATGATATCGCGCGTACATACATACATACAGACATACTCACAGCGAACATTCATTTCCCTTTAACAATGCTACATTAATCTCAATATCCCAATATAGAATACAATTACATTAATTGTAGTATATCCACTGGCAGATCCAGAAACTCGGTAAGGGGGCGCTCCTATTGACGTGGGCTGGATTTGTCAGTTGATTTGTCATATTTTTTTGCTGGCTGAAGGGAGAGGGGCGCCTGGCGCGCCTCCTCCTAAATCCTCGCGTGATATCTAAAAAAAGTTTGGTGGGAAAATATTGGCCAACATTTTGGCGGTAAAAGTTCCTAAATTTGTTTGGCGGGAAGTATTATTTATACTACATAATGAGAACTTGAATAACGCAGCATTTTACAACACTATATAATAATTGAACAGTTTTGGAAACAGCTGGTTTGGTCAGTCTTAATTCTGTGCTCTTATTCCTTATTGTCTAGATGTTCTAGCAAAATGTTAAGTACATATATGATAGTCATACCGAAATTGACCAATAGAGAAAAGAAAAATGTTTCCCTCATATATCGTAAGGGCAAGGTAGAAGCACGTGTTAAAACACATGGGTTTTCAATCAAAACAGTTATAGTATTATCAGGGGGAAAATTCTCTTCTCTCGGGTTCTCCACACTTGTCAGGGGGGGGGGGAAACTCGTCTCGTCTCTCTATCTCGTCCCCTTGAGGTACGGGATCGGGAAAGTCACTTTAACTTTACAGTCAAATAAGGCACACACAACGAAATACGTTTCAACTCTCGTCTTAGTCGATCTTTTGGAGCACTCTATAAGACACAGCGCCCTGGGGAAAAGTCCCCAAGACTCTCACAAAGCTGAACCAAGACTCGCCCAAGACTGGACTGCCTCAAGGCTCGCCCCTGGACTGGACTCTCGACTGCCCAGGACTGCACTCTCTCTCTACTGCGTCTATCGTGCTGTGCTCCCCAAGACCAACTCAAACTCTCTTTATTCATTTTCACAACTCTAACCAATTACAAAGCAGTAAAAAGACTCTAGGGCGTAACCTTCAATCATAAAGCCAATCACACTAAGTACTGAATACGTCATATCTTTTGATTAATCGTTCACTACATTAATAACTATGGATGTAAACTGTCAGAATGAGTAGTCTAAAAAGCGGCGGTTATCTGGTAATTAGTTCCAAATCACTGAGCTAAGTTCCGTCCAAAACTTCAAATAGACCCGAACGATGACAGACATAACACAGCAATTCAGCTAATAATCAACTAATTAAGTCGGTCAACAGATACGCGAAAACAAATTCATGACAGTATTTTGAAAAAGCGTTCGTATTACGACAACGGATAAGGGCAACTACTTAGCATGTTCCTAATGAGTGGCGGCGGCAAGGGGGGATGTTTGGGACGTTGCTCCTCCAAAAACAAGCTGAAAACCCTTGTGTCACCAAAGTTTGCCACTCAAAATGTAAGGGTGAGCATGCCCCCGGACCCCCTAGGTCGACGCAGATCTTACCCACCCATGCACAATTTCGTGCCGCCGCATCTGGTGATTGCTGCTATATTTCTGATTCAACTCAACTTTGCTTTGAAAATATTTTATATTTTGAAAATGAATTCCAAGTTTTAGTGTATTTTCAAAATAAATTTGCAATTCCAAGTTTACTTACAATACACGTATAATATGATCGAGTCATCAATCCTCAAGCTAGTAATTTGGCTACACAGAAGGTACGTTCCCATGACCTAATAAATAAACTCTTTTTTCTCATAGCGGATATTTTATTGTCGGAGTCTTAATCTCGAATGCCAGATAATATGATGATTGTCACACGCCTTTGTGAAATTGAATGTAATCTTAACTACATGTCGTGATTATAAAAACTCAAAAAACGTTCCAATCAAGTCATTGACAAAAAGTGTTATGCAGATTTTTTTAAACACCAAAAGGACAAAATGTTTCATTTTAACTTGAAAATTAGGTGTTTTTTTAATCACAACAATTGATGTGATTTTATAATGGGGAAAAGATATTTTAAAACAATTGGATGTAGGGTGTGTCGGAATGCTGTAGGTGCTGGAACAATTCAGTAATGTTGTTATACGTAGTTATTTGCCCCGTGTCTCACGAACAATACAATAACTATCGATAATGTTAATTTGTATGCCCGAAGTCTAAGATTACGTGCGTTCTACTCGCCAATTAATTATGTATACATACATTATTACATCGTCCCCGAAAGACGTGACTTCGAGTTGCATTATTTTTTTTCAATACTGTAAAGAAATCCCCACTGGGGGGTCTCGTTTAGGCTACGTTCCACCGATGCTGATATATCATAATCCACTCAAAACAAGTGTTGGTCTAGGATATCAGTTGTAATCAGTTGTTTGTGTAATTAAAGCAGAAGGGTCATCACCTGCGCACGCGCGGGAATTGAGTCCCAAGCGACGATAACAACACACGCTAAAAACGCAAAGGCTCATGGGTAGATGCTTGTTTGTTAGCAATGACACGCTATGGCCATCTGACGCATGCCCAGGTGACGACTCCCCCGCTTTAATATAACATAATGATTGAGTTTCACATTTCAGTCAGATTTTCGACAAATTGTGTTTGTCATATACCTCGTGATCAGCTACAATACAACAACACTCTGATGCGAAGGAAACAAATGGCGTACCAATGTCATGATATAGCATCTGCAAATCATTATTAAGATTGCGATAATAGACAGCCCGTGGCTATTCAAGATTTCAGGTTCATTGGATTCTGGGATTGCTTCTTTTTCAATTAGATGATATTACGTGGATATGTAAACTTTCATGCGTATACGTAGTGTTTACGTCAGGGAACGGATAAAAATGCATTCACATACGTTTAATTAGAAAATGTCAAGAAACATATGAACTGCACGTCTCCCGATTTGTGATATGCTGGACGGTCATAAAACTGCAGAAAGTAGCATCCGACTACATCCTAGTCATAGTGAGCATCACGTCCATTGCCTTTTTTTCTAGATAAAAAAAATTCCTACGCATACACGTATTCCCATAATGCAATGCGCCAAGATGACACACGCCGCCAATCAAAAATATTCAATCCCTGGTCATTAGACATACGAAAGAGTGATTGTAGTTCTAATTCTACACAACAAGGTCCACCAAACAATCGGTGATTAAAGTATCAAATCTGATAGCGTAAGAATATTT